GCCAGTAACAAGCGGGGTCCCCCAGGGCTCTGTCCTGGGGCAGATCCTGTTTAATCTTTTCATTAACAACATGAAAGAAGGGGTGAACAGTCTGCTGATCAAATTCGCAGATGACACTAAAACTGGAGCAGTGGCCACAACTGAGGAGCAGGTACTCCAGATCCAAAAGGATCTGGACAGACTATGGAAGTGGGCAGGAGACAACAGGATGAGGTTCAATGTGGATAAGTGCAAGGACCTGCACTTGGGGCATAGGAATAGGTGTCATAAGTACAGGTTAGATGACATGTGTCTGGAGAGCAGCACTTGTGAAAGGGACCTCGGGGTACTGGTTGACTGCAGGCTAAACATGAGTCAGCAGTGTGATGCGGTGGTCAAGAGGGCAACTGCCACCCTTGGTTGCATAGCCAGAAGTGTGGCTTCTAGATCAAGAGAGGTATTACTACCAATCTACACGACTCTGCTGCACCCGCAACTGGAGTACTGTGTTCAGTTTTGGGCCCCTCATTACAGAAAGGATATAGCCAGGTTGGAGTCAGTGCAGCGTAGGGCCACAAGGTTGGTGGCCGGTTTGCAGGGGATGCCATATGAGGCGAGACTGAGGGAACTGGGTCTCTTCAGCCTGGAGAAGAGGAGACTTAGAGAGGATATGTTGGCGACATGCAGTTATGTGAGGGGATGTCACATGGAGATGGGTAGAGACCTGTTCTCCCCTGCAGAGGAACGCAGAACGCACTCCAACGGAGCAAAGCTCAGGGAGCCAAGTTTCCATTTGGATGCCAGGAAGCACTTCCTGACAGTCAGGACCCCGAGGGTGTGGAATGGGCTTCCCTGGGAGGTGGCTGAGGCCCCATCAGTGCAGGTGTTCAAGGATAGGCTGGATGTCCACACGGTGGGCATGTCATGACCGGTGCCGACTGGTGCCGGAGGTCAGACTAGATGGCCCGGAAGACCCCTTCTGACTCGCTCTGTTTCTATGTTTCTATGTAATGGCTGATCACTGATGACAAGCATGACTTCAAACCCCGGAGAAACACTGTGTTTGTGTGAGAAAGAGGATCTGTAATTTTGATTTTGTGAATACAAGAATTCTGAATTCCTATTCTTCAGGTCAAAATTAGTCATTTCAGTATTTTATCATGTTACATGTATATTCAAAATGTGGTGGCTTGGCTTTTATTTAAACTTCATTTGAAATGTCAAAATAAATTACATTCACTACATAGAACAAGAAGAAACATATGTGGCAAAAGCATATATTTCAATATTCTTTAAAGGAAATAATGCCTGAAATTCATTTCATTACTTGAAAAAAGACAATTGCACTTTCAATTTCCATGCATGTGCAAGAAGTGATTTGATACTGTTATTTCCAAACTGTGTTCAAACAAAATGTTCAGGAACAACAAATCCATGGAAAATCTGGCAGCATGATTATTGTATACATTGATATTATGATCAAAGCTAAAGTACAGCTGCAATAGCTATGGTAAATATGGAAGTTACCGCTATAGAAAATGTGACTCATGAGTTTTCTACTTGTGTAAAAATGAAAACCTATGGGGGACCTGATTTGCTTTTCTCATGATATCAGACTACTGAAACATCTGCAAAATAAACATTCTGTGGAGATAGCTCTAGTTTGGGATGTGCAGATTTTGTTACATCTGTTCCAACTGAATTTCATGGATGGACAGAGTCAGGTTTTTTTATTTTTTTATTTTTTTTTTTTGCATTTCCCAAATTTGTTTTTGTTCACACTTTAGTGTATGAGGAAATATTTAGATGACTAAATTTGCATAAAGTTCTAGAAAGTAATTAATCAATCTGCATGTCTACAGATTTCACATGACTCAGGAAAAGCTGGGTTGTTGCAGAATCCTTGGGTCAGATTCATAGCAACTGGAACTCATTTGCATCCATTGTGGATTCCTCTGACATCTCCAATTCTATATAAATTATGTTTTATTTATCTTGGAGGAAAAATTGAGAATTGGTTTTCCTTCAACAACAATTTCAGTCATGGGCATGATCCACCTTTGCATGAAGCAACTGCCCATGTGCAGAAAGATCACTGAAAGTTGCTTGCATATACCATTATATGCAAGGAGCTTAAATCAGGAAGATCATAATTCTTTCCTCCTTAGGGTCAGACACTGGGCCCTAAGGCAACACACAACCTAATCAGACACATCATCATTTTCTCACATTCTTGTGTCTAACACAGCTAACACAACCACCTTACCCCCTTGGCCTGTTCAGTGTTGCAATCTGTTCAATCTAGAGGGTTCAAGAGGATGAACTGCTAATGCTGACATCTCAGATCACAGTATATCCAGTGACTGTGTAGACAGGTAGCAAAAGTAAGGTGAATTTTCTGACGGATTAATGTAGAATTACAATAATATGATAACCACCTAATTTTTACCACTTGATGTCACAATTATAGCAAGTGTGGCAAACAACCAATGCCAATATTGGTTGTTTGCCAAGTGCTATATGAACAAACTCAGAGGCCATGGAGGCATGTTGGATAAGCTTGAACTCAGGAGGAATGACCTAATTACCTGCACTACCCCATGTGAGTTAAGTAAGGAATGAATGATGAATGATCAAAGCATTGTTGAAAAAAGGCAATAATCATAACCTGAAGAGATTTCCCTTAGAGAGATTAGGCAAAGAGGCCCTACAAGAGACGTCTACTATTGCACAGTAAGTCAACAGGGAGTGAACAAAAGAATGCTGGACACCCCTTCAATAACAGTCAGCAAACACAAAGAGCGTGCTTTTTTTACCCATAGAAAACAGGTAGCAGAAAGTGATAAATAACTAAGGTGATCAGGAGCAATCATAAACCCATCAAGTAATTTGCATAGGCCTGAAAATGCTATCTTCTCATTCTCATAGAAGCAAGTTTAGGAGAAAAGGTATAAGAACCAGGGACTTAGAGAATAGGAGTAGATAAGCTCATAACACACACCTGGCAACCAGTTTGTAATCCAGACTTTTATCCTTTTTGCCTCACAAGGGACTGCTGTTGAGAATTTACAGTGTAAGATAACTGACAGTCAACTAGCAGCCTTAGTCTTCTCTTCTTTCTCCTAGCTTCTATCCATAAGGCTTTAGACTGAAGATGTTTTACTGCTTGGAAATATAGATTTGGGGGGGGGGGGGTGCTGTGAGAATATTTGCTGCCCAGAAATAGGATCAAGAGTTTGTACCTACTACATAATCCCCATTGAATAAACTTTGTTTTTGTTTCTAAGTGTGCATGCATGTTAATATAAAGCTAGGCTGTGTTCCCATCAGTAGCACATGTTAGACCCCACCAAAATTCCTAAACCCCTTAAGGTATCTCAAATGCTCCCTGTTGAAGTGTATTATTCCCTGAGATTGCCAGGCAAAACACAGTAACATTCTGGTTTGACAAATGAAGATCATACAACAAAGATCTGGAGTCATTCAGGCCTGATCGACCCATTTATTTTTCTGCATATGATACACACTCAGATGCTTGAACAAGAAGATCCATATGGACTGGCTGATCATATGAGACTGGCTGCTGCCATGTCTGTGGTCACATACACCCTCTTTCAAGCCAAAGACATTACAGAGATAGCAAGTGCTCTGTTCAGAACTTTGGTTCTCTATAAGGTCAAGCATCAGAATAGCACACTAATGCGTGAAAACAGCGTAACTCTACACTGAAATTTGAAATGCATTCACCAAGGCTGGGATCATAATACATATTTACCTGGAAGTTCTAGGGAGCTTGATGTGGTTTTCCTCTGAGTACAAATGTGTACAATTGCACTGGATAGAATGTAATCCAAATAACCATGGACAGAAGTAGACCTCCAAACTATTTTCAATCTACAGCTGCAAATATTTATTTTAAAATACCATTCGATGATTTTTGGTAGTATAAATACTGCAGTTTCTTACCTTTAATGTTTGTAATCTGGTGCATTTTCTGTTTGTGGACTGAATGCAAGAAATTGACAAAAATGCTATTTATGCACTAAGAGCAAGTGAAGGAAGACTTCAGTGTATTTTAAAAAGTGTAACCATGGAAGCTTCCAGGGAATTCCTATGGGGAAAAATTGAAGCGATTCTGTCATTTCTTCCCTAAGGATGCAATTCTAGGCATGTTTAGACAGGAAAAGCTTTACAATTCCCAAAACACCCAAGCCAGGATAACTGGCTGGAGGGATACTGGGAGTTTTAGTACTTCAAATATGCATAAGTTAGTGCCCTAACAGGTTTCCCTAGTAAAGAAAACAAAAAATAAAAAGTACACACAGCAATGGAAACCAGCAGAGGGCTCAACATTGTTTGGATCCCTTGCAAAGTTCTAGAAAGGAGACAGTGAGTTACACAACACATCCCACTTCTGGAAGTACCTTTAAAAAATTGCATGAAAAGCTCAACTTTGCTTAACTGGAAACAGTTGAAGAAATGAAGATATTCCAGTGGGGTCTATATCAAAGCCCATACACAACTGTATCCACAGTTTTAACATGGCTGAGGAACGAAGTGTGTACAGAGGGACTTCAGAATAGACTTTTTGTTTCAGAGAAACTAAATAATGCTTTACATGACATGAAGATAAATACAACAGTCCATCCAACTGTAATTTCCAGTTTACAGGGTGCATTTGAGAGAGAAAATCTGTAGAGGAATTTTCGTTATTCTATTTTAACTGGAAAGTCCCAGTGTGATTAAATATGAACAAAGCCATGCAGTGAGTGTGCCATCTCTCCCCATTATTTATGGAGTGTAGCAATGTAGAGCTGGTTTTGTATTTGTAGAAATCATTTCTTTATGCAGCTTTTGAAATCTGCAGTTAGCTGCATTAATTATGCAAGCATTTAGGTGCACTTGTTCAGTGCTTCTTTCCAAATTCAGTTCTTTCCAAATTCTTCTGTGTGGCAACACTGCCCTCTCGTGGCTTAACTCATTTTGGGAGTTTCCTTTGTTTTGACATAACTGATCCTCTGATTACTGGAAGTAAATGACATGCGATAGATCAAAGGCTGGCTTGTAGGTGCACTGTGAAACATTCATTATAACAACCCTGTCAAACTCAGAGCACAGGTGTGTCAATCAATATGTGGAAAAAGGCAGAGACTCAACACTCTGGCCAGGAACAGGAATTGGCAGATCTATTCATGTGCAGAAGACAATATAGTCCTTCTTTCTTTCATGAAGAAACTTCTTCCACTGTGATGATGGCTCTGACCCCAACTACCACACCAGTGTCTGTGTGATGCATGTGAATAGATTATTCGGTTTTCGTTACAAGTACGTTACAATTCTACAAGGTAGCATTGATATTAGCTTTCCCAAAATACTCTCCCAAAATATCAGTGTTTCCAAGCACATGCACATCACTTAAATCTTTTTAAAAAGTCATCCCAAACGGAACTATTTTTTTGCAACAACTAATGCCACCCACCCACAAACACACACACTCAAATGGAAACAAATCCACCAGACATTTTATTGGAATTATGACAAAAGGCTTAATTTTAATTCATTTAATGTTTTATGCATTTATTTTAAAAGTAAATATAATCCAAACAATATGAAATAAATTCACAAACACAAAAGAAACATTGCTTGTGACTCAAACATAATAATATTCATAACTCATCTATTTTCTTTTTGAGCAAGATTGTGAGAAAATGCATGGTCAAAAGGTGACGTTCCAAGATGAAAGGGTAGAACCTGAATTTCAGAATGCTTAACATTTAATACAACCAACAGTTGTGCTGTAGTCAATACTTCACAGAGATGAACCTTCAGAATTACTGCAGTAGTTTTACTGTATATAATATTATCTGTCAGTTTTGGTTCCTGTGCAACAACGCTGGAACACTTGTTTACAGCAACAAGTACATTTGTTTATCAGCTTAAATTTGCAGAAATCAACTCAACATACTAGTTAATAAAGTAGAATAAATGTTTTTATGACTATTAACTTTTTATAATAATCAAGTCAAAAAGTTTTAATTCACAAATAAGCAATGCACAAATCCAACTTACCAGCAAAACCATGTATTCTATAGATTGCATCCAATAAGATACTTATAATATTGTACTGTGGATATCACAGAACATGACAGTTCAATCAGGAGCAATTTAACAGTTTTCATCTATGAATAACAGGTTGTGAGAACATATAAATGAAACCTTATTGTATTTTGCATTAGGAATTGTCATTGTGTAATGATATAACCACAGTAGTAAATTGTGCAGGAATTTTCTCCCTAAGGAATGCTTTTGATTGGGCCCTTACTGATCAGGTATCCTTAAAAACAGCAGTTTTTACAGCATATCTTAAACTCTATTTTATTGCATTGGTAGTTTTGTTGAGTATTAAAATTATAAAGCTAGCAGAAATTAAGATATTTCATCATGCAAAAAGAAAAGTCACCAATTCAAAAAAAGTAATTAAATAATCAAAGAAAATTGGCAGATGAAACAATAGAGTCAAGCAATGTTAGACCATGAAGCTTGTAAATTTACTATTAATTTCTAAAGTAAGAGTATCCATAGCAAATATAGGAACCATACAACTTACCTTATCTAAGTAAGGTACAGAATCCACTTAAAGTGCATCTGCTGGACAAATCCTTTAAAATTCTACTGTTATAGCTATGCAAATAAGCCACACAAGCTATTTTTACATGTTCTACTCTATAAAATAGTAAATATAGTACTTGAAACCTAAAATACAATCTATCTATCTGTCTGTCTGTGAATGACATATGTGTTCTGTACCATGAACTAAAATGGAAGCTGTTTTTAAATAATTGCTGAAAAACTGAGAAAAATTGATGTTCATAAACTGGTATTACAGAAAATAGGGTTGTAGCATATGTTTAAGAAAAATGTTACGGTTAACAAAATGTTTTCATAAGGCTCTGAGAGAAAGCAGTCACTTTTCTCAACTTCTTTTGGCAAAAGAGAAGAATTTGTATCAGGGCCACATGAGATTTATGAACAGGGATGTTTATATTTCATTAAAGTCAGCTAATTCAGTGTCTATGTAAAGTTATTGCACTCTTGCATTCCTTGGAATACATCATAGCAACACGGTAACAATGATTGAAACATAGCAATGGTAAAATAAAAGGTTCAAATTCAAGATGAGATGAGAAATACCTGCATGTTCAAAAATACCTTCAATGCAGGAAGTCCCCATTGATATCTGAAAAAGGTTCAATAATTCACACATAGAAAATTCTACTAACCCTCACCAATATAAATTTCTCAGGGACCAAAAAGATTTTATCCTGCAAATCAGTGCTTATACTGCTTTGGAATATATTTCTATCAGAGTTAAAAGAGCATTCTCCCAAAGATAACAAAAATGGATTTAAAATAGGTGTCTACTGCTGAGTGCAAGTCCTTGTAGCAAAGTTAAGACAAGTTATGTTTCATTTCCTCACTGCGCTTGATTCTTGCTGAAAGCCTACTGGTATTTATTCCATGTATTTCTTAGTAAATGCTACATTTCTGTTTAAAAAGTTATTTTTCTCTGTAGTATGTCAAGTAGGCTTTTAGAGATTCAGGGAGTGGTAGACTCATAACTTTTTCCCGCAATAGATTTGGTGGGGGTTCTTCTGGTTTCAAGGCTTCACTGTGATCTTTATCATCTTCTTCTCTGTTGTCTTCTTCCATCTTTTCATCTTCTTCACTATCTAGAGGCTGAGGAATGAGCTGATTGCCTACAAACACATAAGTATTAATCCTGCGCCTACGACACCTTCTGCGTTTACGTTTTGGTGGGAGTTTCTGAGTAATACCTTTGGCTTTCATATCTTCATTTATATAGTTTCTAAGAGTGCGCCTAATGTAGATCCGAGCCAAGTCCTGTAGATTCCTAACAGCACAAGGTGCTAAAAAGAAAAAAATGAAGAAAAGAAAGAAAGGACATTAGGATTACAGTATAGGTAAAAAATGAATTGAAGTGAACTGTAGTATAAAATAGATGTGAAAAGTCAAGATTCATTGCAAATTTTGATCTAAACTTAGTGGGTTCCTTCCTAATTT